GGTAGTAGGTGTGGTGGCCGGGGGGGGGGGGCCGTGGGGCCCTTGCTGCCCGCGGGGGGGGATGGAGGGGGGGTGGTAAGAAACCCCCCCCCCCCCGGGCTAATGCTGAGCAGAAAGCAGAATCGTTCGTGCCCTGAGCCGGGGAGCCGGTGGGCACTTGCTGCCCACGGGGGGGGCCGCCGGGGCTGTACATGGCTGTGCATCCATCGCTCCCTGCAGCCTTTACTCATGTGCCGCTGGCTGCTTGCTGTGGTGGGGGCTATTTTTCCGTTGAGCGTACATGTCACCGGGGGAAGCTATTTTTGATAAAATAAACAAATCTTTCCAGCTTTTCTAAAAATAGCCATTGCCCTTTTTTCTCCCCCTCCCTTCCCAGCTCAGGCTGCCTTAGAGACAGAAATCCGCCTCGAGCCATCCAGTTATTAATACCAGTAAACAAACCCTTATCTCTGGTGCCCTGTTCTAGCGGGAACATGTGGGGGCGGGAGCCACCCAGCTGCCAGGAGCCCGTGTCCCCATGTCCCCACATCCCTGCTGCCTGCCTCGGCGTAGTCCCACGCTGCCGCTCCTGCCTGGTTCCAGCCGGCAGATGCAGCCAAGGTGGCTGGTTTGGGTTTGATTTGGGGTTATTCTTCGTGCTGCTGCCACCTTCGCTGGCTTTAGCATCTCATGGGATGCAGAGAGGGATGGGATTGCCCTTCCAGGTGCTGAGGATGCTGCCTTCACCTCCTGCCCCTCAGCACCCCCATCCCTACCTGCATACAGTCCCCATGGCATGGGGATCGGGGGGGCTCACAGCACAAAGGGGGCAGCTCCTTCCCCAAAGCAGCACGTGGCAGAGGCTAAAAATTCAGGTTTAAGGGGAGACCAGGATTTGTGGAGGCTTTCTGCACAGGGAGAGACCCCACCAGGCCCTGGGAGATGGATGGACGGACGGAGTATTTCTCAGCAAGGAGTAAAAAGAGAAATACCTTTTATTACAGATAAAAGCCTCGTGTTTCTAGAGAGCAGAAGGCAGCCCCACTACGGGACAGGCACGCGGGTGGGTACAAAGCGCTTGGTGCCAGGAACATGGAGCTGCTGCAGAGTCCTCTTCCTCTTCCTCCTCCTCTGACTCCCAGGAGGGAGCCAGAGGTCAGTAGCAGTGTGCGATGAGTCCTCTTCCTCCTCCTCTTCCTCCTCCTCTGGCTCCCTCCTGGGAGTCAGAGGTCAGTAGCAGTGTGCGATGGTCTCCATGTTGAGGAAGCGGACATGCATCTTGGTTTCAATGTCAATCCCCTGCCACATCTGCAAGGGGAAGGGGGTGAGCGGGGCCAGGACGGGGGCTCGGCTCCGTGCCCACACCGAACGCCCAGGTCCCTGCGACCGCCCAGCGCCCTCCTCCTGGGGAGACGAGCAGAGATGCCACCAACCTTAAGGAAGTCTTCGAAGGTGATGCCCTCATACACCTGGTCCGGCCCCTGGGCGCAGCGAGAGAGAAAACATTACGGCTGCCCCACGCCAATGGGGCAGGGGCCTTGGGGCACTGGGTCACCGGGGGTGGGTCCCTTGGAGCTACAGGACATGTCTCCCACAGGCGCACAGCCCTGACCCTGCACCGTGCCCCATGGCCAGCCCAAAATTGGTTCCCAGAACCATCATGGCTGCAAGGAGCTGCCTTTTTTATAAGCGCTAAAGCCCCAAGCACTGAGGATGGTGCTTTATGGGCTGCTGTTTGCTTATCCCCCTTGGGCTCTTATAATGGAAAAAAAACCAAACCAACAAAAATCCTGAAAGCTGCTGCCTGCAAAAAAAAAATCTTCTCTGGCCAAAGCAGCCCAGGGACAGGGGAGATGCCCCGGGCAGGACAGACACCTTCCAGCCCCATTTTCGATACCATCACTGCGCCTCTGTGCCACGGTAGAGCAAGGAATCGGCTCCCACCATTTGTCCCACACAGATGCTGGCTGCCTCCATCATGGCCCCGTCGGCGATGGACCGCGCCGACTCCTTCTCCAGGTGGGGGTTCCCCGACAGCAGCTCCTCCACCACCTACGAGGCAGCAGGTCAAAGCTGGGGCCGGGAATTCGGTGGTGATGGGGTGGGAGGGACCATACGTTACATTTCTGTACTCCTGCAGCGTGATCTTCCCGTCATGGTCCGAGTCGTACATGTGGAAGAGGACTGGGAGGGACGAGAGGAGCGCGGCAGGGTCAGGGGAGCCCCGTCCCGCCATCCCCCCGCCTGCCCTGGGCTTTGGGCAAGCCTCACATTTGAGTTTCTCTTTCCGGAAGCGATCGAGCTGCTCCTCGTCCATGTTCATCTCGATGGGTCTGAAGTAGGACATGATGGTCAGGAAGTCTTCAAAGTTTATCTCATCCGCCAGCCCATCTGACTCCTGCCGCAGGTTCCTGCCAAGAGCGGAGCCAGCGGTGCTGGGCAGCCGGGGCCCCCCCCCCCCCAGCTGCCCACTCCTGCCTGCCGCAGAGCCCGGCGCGTCCCTCGGCAAAGCTTTAGGACTGTTTTTTCCCCTAAGGCTTAGCTTAAATGTCTGTAATTTTCACCCTGGCTCCATTGAGCCTTTAGGAAGGAGATCTTTGCCCAGCCATGTCCTGCTTTCAGAGGACAAACCAATTACCCCGACCCTCCCCGTGGTGCCGGGGATGTTCTTACCGCTTGTCGAAAAAGGCATGGACGATTTTCCCCCTAATTGGGTTGAATTCCAGATCGGGGATGCTGTCAAAATTCTCCTTGCTGCAAAGGAAACAGAGACAGCCCGAAGTGTGAGGGAGCCGCGGAGGAGGGAGACGCTGCGACAGTCACCGAAGAGCTGGTGCAGAAGCCCCAACCCCATTCTTTCAAAGCAATCATGAAAAAAAAAAAAGAGGTTTTGCATGAAAACCCCTATTTGCCTCAATTCAGACTGAAAGCAAGCTGCGCTGCTGCATCGTCTGTGCTTGGTGCGGCTATGGGCAATTTTTGTCCCCACTAAAATGGGTCTTTGGGAAGCTCTGGGACACAGCGGCTCGGGGCTGATGCTGGGGTCCTTTGTACAGCTCGACCTCCAAATGGCTGCACGGTTTTCAGAGATTTTTTTCCAGAAATATAAAGTCCTGAATGGGGCTCAACGAGGTGAGGGAAAGAGCTTCTGCCGTCCACCCTCCCCTTGGCTTCCTCTGCCCTGCACCGTCCCGCTGCATCTCGCTGCCGCCCCGTGTTGTGCTGCACAGACACCAGGTTGAGCCTGTGCTGGTCGTTTGCTATTGACTTTTTATAAAGCAAATGAGCCAAGAAATAATCTCCGGGGTTGGGGGGGGAGGTGGTTAGGCAGAGGGCAGCTGGGCTCCCCAGCCCGCGCTGTCTCCTCGCGTGGCTGGTGAAGCTGGTCGGACGCGCCAGAGCTTTCCCAAGGAAGCGGAGTCGTGGCTTTGGTGCACAGTTGCCTGCACAGACGCCGGGGAGGGGGAAAAGGGGAACTTCAAACCCCACCGTAGCTCCCGTGTAGGGACTTCTCACGTCCCTGATTTCCAAAACTGATTTTAAAGCTGGGGGAAAATGGGATGCGTGGCAGGAGCGACCCTGCTCTCAGGCCACTGCTTCACCGCTCATTATTTGTAATGCCACACTGCAGAGAGCCAGCTCAGCACGGCCGTGGGATGACCGGGAAGGACACGCTCATCCTTGCAGCCCGGGGAGCCGGGCATCTCGACTAGGCACCCTTCGCCAGCGCGGGGAAGGCAGGCGCCCCGGCAGTGGAAATGGAAGCGCTGTACCGGATTGTCAGCTGGTCCCGGCTCAGCTGCTTGAATCGCCGGTGCAGGTGCTCGATCTGTTCAGAGGTGACTGTCGGGGGAAAAAGAGAGAGGTGACAGGGGGTGAGCTCCCCGGGCACAGGGTAGCCCCCGGGGGACCCCCGGGGGACCCATCTGCAGAACTCATGTCCTGCCCAGGGACGCGAGGAAACCGGTGGGCACCAAAACCTGCTGCAAAGCTTGTTCCCTGGGGACACCACCAAAGCCCGTCCCGTGTGGCAACAGCCAAAAGGCTGCCTGCTCCCACCCCCACCCCCAGTGGCGGGGCCCTAGTCTTGTTGTGGGGGGGGGGTGGGGGGGGGGCTGGTTTATCACCAGTCCAGTTGGGGGGGGCTGAGCAACAACCACACAGAAAGCTCTCAATGCCACCTCTGTCTTGCAGGGGGGGGGTGGGGGGTGACAGGGGCTGGTTTATCACCAGTCCCGGTCTGCAGAAACTCCCCTGGCCCAGACTGCACGGCATGGCATGGCACAGCATGGCATGGCACAGCAGGAAGCCACCCCCCAACACCCAGTTTAGGATCCTCGGTAGCAGTCCCTTCAAACAAGACCATTTAATTTGGGGGTTGTTGGCGCCGTGGGCAGGAGCCGTGCCCGGGGAGCACGTCTTGACCTGCCCTGGGACATCTCTACTTGCAGCTGGGAGGTTCATGTGCTCACGTCCACAGCCATGCCGGGGGACAGAAAATAACACTAAATAAAAAAGCAAACCCCAAAGCTGACAGTAGCCACCTGTGTCTTGCCAGGGGCAAGGAAAGGCTGAACATGGAGGAGATGCATCGGCACCCAAAAAGCAAAGCCGGGCTTTGAAATAAGTGCTGCTGCTCGGGGGGGAGCTGGGACACCGGGAAGCCCCGAACCATCGAGGTGGGCACTGCCTCCCCCAGGGATGCACCAGCCCCCGGGCAGCGCGGCTGCACCCGTTGGAGCATTAGCCTGGGGTAGGGGCTGGAAGCAGGGTGCCCATCAGCCTTGCTTTGAGACCCACGGAGCGCTGAGGTTACAGCGTGAGGCTCAGCAGCATCTTTTCACCTCCTTAATCCCATGACACAGGTTGGTTTGGTTTTTTTTTTCCCCAGCTATTCTTTACAGGCTGTAACCAAGCTCTACAAACCCCCGAAGACATGCAGAGTCTCACTCTCTCGTGCAAATATTGACAGCAGCCGTTCCCAGGAGCCGGGGAAGCGGCTTTCAGCTCTGTTTGCAGGAGCTGGTGGCATCTGTCCAGGCGCCAGCTGGACCGGGTGCTCGCTGCAGCCCTGGCTGGAGCTGGGCACGGGGCAGGGCTGCGCCAGCGGCCGGTCGTCAGCCTTTCCCAGCGGCGCAGAGAAAGATAAAAGCATGTTAAAGTATAATTGAGAGGTTGCAAATGGTTAACTGCTGTGACTGAAAGACAACAGGTCAATGCTGAGCTCGCGTGCTCGCTGGCTGGCTCGCTCCCTCTCTCTTTTTATTATGTTTAAATAATGTCCTTTGCTCCCTTTCTGACTGTTGTTTTACAGCCTTGAAATAGAAACTGTATTGATCAGTAAGGCTGAGCATTTACAGACCTCTAGTAATGGACTGGAAAACCCATCTGTGCTTGTTGCTGGGGCTCTGTGCCTGCCCCAGATCTCTGCCTCTGCTGGCAGCTGCCAGACCTTTTGCAGGATGAGGCCATTAAGCCCCCTGGCCTGGCTTTGGGGGGTCCTCCCTCTGAACCTGCTGGCTCTCAGGCGGTGATGCCTGGCTGCACAGGTGCTCAGGCACCACCAATTCAGCCATATGATGTTTTTCCCCCCTAATCTCTCTTCCCCTCCTCCCTCTCCCTCTCCCTCCCTCCCTCTCTCTCTCTCTCACACAGACACACGCTTTCTCTGGACTTTGCTTTCCAGTTTTGGCCACAGAGAAGTGACCTTTCGCTTTCTCCCTTGACAACATTGCCATCACCATGGGAGCAGCTGGGCCACCAAGACTTCAGCATCTGTGACTTGGTTGCACAACAAAATCTTTGATCTCTTAGAAAAAAGTCCCAGCACCGACATGAAAAAAACTGGGGTCACTGGCTGGATGCTCACGGTTGGTCCAGCCCCGCTGCCCATCCAGCCCACAGCTGCAAGGCAAAAAAGAGGGCTCTTCCTCCCTCTTTCCTCAAACTTAGGTCTTCCTCGCCCAGCTCCGAGGAAGGAGCGCAGGGCTGCGGTGCAGGCAGGTCTCCGAGGACCACACCGGTCCTGCGAAGGGTGGCAGCGCTCGGCTGCTTTCCAGAAAAAAAAGCTGCACCTTGCACAAAGGGCAAAGGCTTTCCTGCGAGAAGGACTGGCTCAAGGGCAGCAGAGGCTGCCCGTATCGCCGAGAAACATCCTCCGTGCTCTGATGCTGCAGGCCCGTGTCCAAGCACGGCAACCTACTCTACAGGGGAAAAAAAATGGTATTTAAACTGAAGGGCGCTGGGTTTGCCGTTTCCCAGCCTGCGGCAGTTTGTGCTGCTTGAGCAAAGGGCATCCCCCGGGGAAGAGGTGCATTGGAGGGCCTCAGCCCTGCGCTGCCCTCCCTGTGCTGTGTTTCACCTTGCGGGACCCGCCTGGGTGCAGGAAAAGATCGCGTCGTCCCAGGAAGAGCCAGTTCAGCACCAGGCAGATGCTGCTGCTGCTGCTGCAGCTTCGTGATCGGGCACGCAGCAGCAGGAATGGGGACCAGCCCCGACGGCCCCGAGCAGACAGCTGTGGGTGCCCCTGCGGCTTTCGGGGTTTAAAGCACTGGGGGAGAAGGCAAAGGACTGTGCCCCGGGCACGTCCTGGGGACCCGCAGGGAGTTCTGCCCTGTCCCCGCTTCTCCCAAGGGACCAAGGGTGACTACGATGCCCTCCACGAGGTTGTACCGCAGCAGGAAGCCTGTAAAAACCCTTGCATTCCCCGGGTTTTTCTAGTAGCAGCTGCAGCATGGTGAGAGCCCTGTGAATCCTGCCGGCAGCATATTACATGCACCCCAGTTGTGGCATGGGGTCATCGCCCCACCCCGGACCTCTGGTTTCGATGAGACTTTTTGGGTGCTGCCTTCGTAAACCCTTCTCTGGGACTGATTCACCGGGGCACTGGGGCGTGAGGCAGGTGCCTCCACGGGCAGGTGCTAGAGAAAGGGACACTGGGGGGCGACAGCTTCTTCACCGCACAGCCGCGATGAAAAGGCCCCCGGGCAGCACTGCCAGCGCGGGCCTGCTGCAGGCAGCCTGGCCTGGCCAGCGCGGGAGGCGCCTGCTGCAGGCAGCCTGGCAGGATCCCCATGCCAAGGCGTTCCCAAAAACCTCCTTCCCCCCTTGGCTGCCACGGTCGTACCCCGGGAGCTCCCCAGGCTGCTGCCTGCAGGGAGGGCTGAGTTCACCCCGGGGTGCCCAGCGAGGTGCTGGGGTGCTCAGCCCTCACTGGGGGAGGAGGAGGAGTGAGAGGGGAGGAAGGGCGATGTGACCGTAGAGTCAGTGGCAGGGCTGGGGAGAGGTGCTGGAACCCCCCCAGTCCCGGCACATCCTTTGGCTGCTGGCAGAGCTGCCTCCCTCCACCCCTCCCTCCATCACAGCCCGCTCCTGGGACGGCGGGAGCTGGAGGAACCGGGCGGGAGCACCCCGATCTCCGTGCCCAGAGCTGGCCACGTCCTGGGACATCCTGGAGCGATGACATTTCCCCGGAGGGACACGACCACCCCGCCCTATGCACCGACCCCTGCTTGGAGCCCTAGGCCACATCCCTGCTGCCAAACCCCTGCCTGCTGGTCCCTTTCCCCCGCGCCGCCGGGCGTTACGCACCGTACCGGCCCCGAGAGCATCGCCGGACGGCAGCGGAGCCGGTGGCTCCTGGGCAAAACAGCGACGTGGGGACAATTTCTTGCACTAGCGGCGTGGGAGGGCAAAGCGCCGCCGGGGCTCACACGTGTGCGCGCTCGGTGCCCCGGCAGTGCGGCACCGGGGGTGCGCGGGTGCGTCCCTGTGGGTGACACGGCTG